CGCCCAGCGCCGCCGCCGCCGCTCCTGGGGTCCGTCCGTCCGTCCCCCTCCCTCGGGGGGTGGGGGTGGGGTTAGAGCACCTTGCAGCAGTTGATGCAGCCGTGCTGGGTGCCGTAGCGCTTCTGGAGGGCGGCCCGGGTGGCGGTCTCGAAGACCTCCCGCACGCCCTCCTTGGTCTTGGCCGAGCACTCCAAGTAGTCGTAGGCCTGGATGCGCAGGGCCATGGCGCGGCCGTCCTCGGTGCGGACGGGCTCCTGCTTCATGCGGGCCAGCTCGTTGCGGACGTGCTCGTCGTTGCGCAGGTCCTTCTTGTTGGCCACCAGGATGATGGGCACGTTGGGGCAGAAGTGCTTGACCTCGGGCACCCACTTCTCCGGGATGTTCTCCAGGGAGTCCGGGCTGTCCACCGAGAAGCACATGAGGATCACGTCGGTGTCCGGGTAGGAGAGCGGCCGGAGGCGGTCGTAGTCCTCCTGGCCGGCCGTGTCCCAGAGGGCCAGCTCCACCTGCTTGCTGTCCACCTCGATGTCGGCCACGTAGTTCTCGAAGACGGTGGGCACGTAGACCTCCGGGAACTCGTCCTTGCTGAAGACGATCAGCAGGCACGTCTTGCCGCACGCCCCGTCGCCCACCACCACCAGCTTCTTGCGGATCGCCGCCATGGCCAGCCTCGCCGCGCCCGCCCGCTCAGGATGCGCCAGCAGGGAGATGATCGAGTCGCCCGCGGGATCGGGGCCGGCGGCGGTTCCTCTCGCAGCCTCCCGGGGTTCCTTCGGGCTGGGCACCTGGGCCAGCTAGAGCCGGGAAGGGGGGGGAGGAGGAGGAACCGGGCGGGGCAGCCCTTTCTCGGCCGTGGAGCCCGGGGGGGGGAGGGTGCGGAGGCGGGAGCCGCCCACTGGCCGCCGGATAGCGCTAGTCTGGCTCTGCGCGGTCTCTCGCCTCTTCCTTCTCCTCCTCCTCCTCTCCCTGCGCGCACGCCGGATCGCCGGTCCTCCTCGCCCAGCCGACCGACGAGGTGGCTCCTTGCCGTCCGTTGCCTTTTGCAACGCTCTTCTCCCGAGGAGGAGCAGGAGCAGGAGCCGCCAGCTCAACAGGGTCCCTCGGTGGTGGTGGTGGTGCCGCCGCCGCCGCCGCCGCGCCCTCGCAAGACTTCTTCTCTCCCCTCGCCCGGCTTCTGTCTACTTCATTCTGAGGCACCGCGGCAACCGGACGCGTGATGCCGTCCTGTCCCTACAGTGCTGCCTGGGGACTGTACTGCAATGGATGCAGGAAAACGGGCTGA